ATGTGTGTGTGTGTGTGTGTGTGTGTGTGTGTGTTGGTGTATACATGTATTTTTGAATATATGTATGCACGCATGTTTGCCTTTTAATACGAAACGCAGACCAAGCTTATTCAACGAATTCCTACTAAGTGCTCTTCTCCTCGATTCTCAAGAATTCAAGTAGGCTCTGCGGTTTTTCATGCTTAGTTAGTAGTTTGTTAGTTTTTTGTTGTTGTATTTATAGTTTTTTGCTTTGCGTGTACATGTATGTATCACTGTATGTATATATTTATGTATGTATGTATGTATGTATGTATGAATGTATGTAGGGTCTATTGTACTGATACTTACAACAATTAAGTCTATACTTAAGCATAACTCTGACAGAGCTTTAAAAGAAGTTTCTTTTAATTTCTAATTAAAATGCCTGTCTTTTTATAAGTAGACGTTGTATGTACAACTTTACAAACAATTCCAGTCGACAGCTATATTGTTCTATCGTAATTGTGACGTCACTTATGCAGAAGTTTCTTGTTGCAACTGAAGTCGCTCGAGCGGAATGTGACACAAGATGTTGTGCAGTCTTGACGGCAGGGCCTTGGGCCATGTCACAAGACAAATGCAGTTGGCCAAAAAATGGAGGCAAGAAGGGCAACCGCAAAGCTTGTGCAAACTAACGGATGCGGCGCCTAGCTACTGTTTCCGCTTTCCTGTTGCCGTTACCGTTACTGTTAGCAATTATGTGCCCGCCCCCGCCACCCCCCTCGTCACCTGTCTAGTACTTTGGTAGTAGCCACACCCGCAACAATGTTGCATAATGGGGCAACGTTTAGTGTGAAATTCTTGTAGCGGTTTTTTCGTGCGCCTTTGACTGTGCCCCCTGCCCCTGCCCCTGTCCCCCCTAACTAAGCTTTTCTTTTGAAATTGCGCACATAAACTAATTTTGCATGCATGAAATGATTTTCATAGTAGAGTAAAAATGAGAAAATTGCAGAGTTGCCGCCAGCAGCTGGTAGTGTTGTCGCCCCTCTGTGGCCGGGCATATGCTCCATCCATTAGGGTTAAGTTGCGTTCCTCATGCGTTCTGTGCTGGGCCTGGCCCCACACGCTAATTGTGTCACAATGATGAGCATAATTTGCGCGCCCAGGCACACCAGGCGTGGGCAAGTGGGTGACAGGGGAGGGGACGGGCCACCGTTAGAAAAGCGCAGTCGGAAATTAAGCATACGCCCCGTGCGCGCGCGTGTGTGTGCGTGTGTGTGCAACATTTATGCACAATGACAGCACTAATTTTCCGTTAGTAAGTAATTGCATTTTGTTTGCCACTTTGCAGCACGCTTTAGCTCACCTTAAACCCGCTCACCCCTCTCCCGCCTGCTAGCTGCATTTAGTTGGATATTGTGCTCATTACTGGCATTTCATTAAATGTAACCGGAAACCTTACTGTTCGCTCGTCAACTTTTTGGCGTATCCATTACTTTGTGTGGCGTCACTTGATCCTAATGCAAACCCCCAGCGCCAACCCCTCGAAGCCTGTGTCTACATTTTGGCAGCAGACACCGCTTTTAATTAGCATCAAACTTCCAGGCTGTCTGCTCCTGTATCGTTTTGTTGTGCCAATTTAAATGGCTACACACAGACACACACATTGCACGCACACTCATACGCTTTGCTACGCTTTTTATATAGAATATGCTGTCATATGTTTGGCTCATGATGAATGATGCCGCCAATTGTTTGGTTTTTGTTTTGTTTTTGTTTGCACATTGCAAACACCGAATGTTGGAAAAGTGGAAAAAGCTTAGCAAACCAACCCCCCTCACCCAACCCCCCTGCCCGTCAACTACACCACCCGCAACCCTTAGCTGCCTGCCCCGGCCTATTCGTTTTGGCAGTAAACATTTTCGACTTGACAGCAGCCTTACGTATCTCTGCTGCCTGTCAGTCTTTTGCCCAACAACTCTGTTTTTGTATACTCTGTAATCGTTAAGCGATTTCTTGTACTGCCGCCGCCCCCGCAGTTCCCGCTCGCCACTCGGCCCAGTGTGGCCTCTTTTGTTTGCCTGCCTCGTACAAGAAAAGTAATTTTATGTAATTTGTTAAGTAATATCCTTCGCTCTGTTTGCCTGCATGTCTCAACAGGATGTGGCTGTGCGAACGTATGTGTCCATGTGGCCTGTGTGCCAGTAACTTGATGGATTTACTGCTGCTCTGCTGCTACTCTGCTGCTTACTTCGGCTTTTCTGCAGTAACTCGGCTGTTAATTAGAAAACGAAAACATCAAAGTGCCATTGTCGCAGCTTAAAGCCGCTTGAGCCTCATCAGTTGCCAACTGATTTTCACAGCACTCGAAAATCTGTGCTGTTTCTTTTTTTACTCTGCGTATTTATTTTGTGCGAAATCGAAATTAACAGTTCCGTAAATCTTCTAAATGGGAAAAACAACTGCCAATGTTTCTTCTTTAATAATTGACATGTGCATGCATAGATCTGTACATTCCCAAGCGAGTTTGTCTGCTTAAAATATGTCTTTCTATTATTTTGTAAAAATTTCTTAAAGTTTACTATTATCAAGAAATTGTAAGTAAGCCCTGTACCCAAAGTCTGTCAATACTAAATGTTTTTAAAATAAACAAGAAGAAAAGAAGCGCAAGATATATCGCTCCAATCTCTTAATAATAAATATTCTAAGGTATGCCAATTACTTATATATTTTTGTTGCCTCGAGTCGAGAAATTTGCGCACACTCCAGACCGCATATAACTCGAGCTAACAGTCATAATTGAAACGCTTTTTCGATTGTCTCGCCTTGTCGCGTGCAACATGTGGCATGAGTAATTATGTGCTGGCGACCAATCAAATTGCTGTCAACAAAGCCGAAACCAAAGCGAAAGCCATAGCCAGAGTCCTTGCCTCGTGGCCCAGACTCCATGCAATTAAAAATTTGCACTTTGGGCCAAAAGCCTTTTTGGCTCACGTCGCACAAATTGTTTGTACGTGTTTTTTCTTCGCCCTGTAATAACAACAAAAACTACAACAAGAATAACAACAACAATAAAGCATGCCACAACAAGCGTTGTGCTCAGCCCTTTTGCTGCTTTCTAATTGGAAACGCTTTTCATTATAGCGCAAATGAAAATCAATGTTCGACATGGCTGTCCTTTGGTTTGAGTAATTAAACACAATCAACTGGCAAGTTTTCCCTTTTTCCCTTGTTGTTGTTTTTTTTTTGCTGCTCTTAATAAATCGCACTACAGGACATGTAATGGCTGGGAAAGAGTTCAGTTCAGTTCAGGATCGGTTGGGGGACAGCAACAAATCCTCAGACGGTCGGCGCCTTAATCCAAACACACACGCACACAAATCAATTTGCCCCAGGGCTGAGCTCGAGTCCTGCCAGTGAAAATGAAGCAATAAATAAGCGGTAATTGGAAGTGATGAACGAAAGGATATGCTGCCGGGGCGAGAACAAGCCGCAGGCCACAGTCCGGCCAGAGGCTTGGACCACGGACCAGAGACCAGGGAGACTGCACTGCGCTCAAATCTCTAATCAAATGTCAATTTCTTATTCAATAACAACAACATACAAGCCAAGTCTTGGACCCTACCTCTTTCCAGTGTAGTCGAGTGTGCGGGCGTGCGAAAAGAAATATAACCAAGGAGTAAATCTCTTAACGATTCGCTGCCTTCCACTGCACAGCAGCAGCCGGCATTGTCCTTGCTCGCACGTCCTTGACGTAGTATAAGCCATTAAATGTGCTTTTTGGCCAATTATTACGCGCGATTTATGCTTTTATTTGTCAACAAAGTTAACAGCAAACGAAGCAAACTATTAGATATCGTGAGAGAAGGGGGGCGCAGTTGAAGTTTAAGTATTGCTCGCTGGTGGGTCAACAAGCGTGTAATAGACGATGCAGCTGGCTGTGAGTGGATTATTTTTCATATAAAACTTACTTTAGCTACAGATCGAAAAACAGACACAAAAACTTGTGTGTGTTTAGTTAAATTCTTGCAATGCTTTCATGTATTTTCTCCGGATTTAGTTGGAGACTTAACAACATCAATTGTTCGATGTATTTTCGGAAATGCTTGTAGCAAGAAAAAGTTATTTATTTGCTTCAAATGCACTGCGAACTTTGAGCAGCTTATAGCCTTGATGAAAAGCTTCAACTTTAATGAATTGTTGCTATTTATATATATTTTTACTGCTCACACTTAGCTTTAATTCATTTTAAGAAAGCTTAACTGTATGAGATAAATGCTATCATCACATTTTTCAATATTGCCTCTCTATGCGATTCTCTTGATTTGAGGTAATGCTGTTAAGTAATGCTTATTATATTAAGTGTAATTTGTTATGTTGGGGAGGTAAGTTAGGACATAAGTGGGTGTAAATATACGGGTAAAGGCAAAAAGGGGGAATGTGAGAGATGCATCAGCTATGACATGTACATATTTAATACAGAAACTTAAGAAGGATGAATTAATTAGAAGAATAATTAACTGGAACATAGATAAATAAGAGTAGGGAAAGTTGACGGATAGCGAAAGGAAGATAGAAAGAAAGAAAAGAAAAAAGAGTAATAGAGAACAATACAAAATAATAATATGAATTTTAAAAGCAACAAGTGAAGATAGTTTGATTAAAAGTGTAGCAAGAGAATGAGGTAAAGAAAAGAGCTTGAAGAAAATCTTAAAGAAAAACGAACGCATTATCCATTTTCACAGGTTACATATAAAATATATATTTTTATTAACGAATCGACTTAAAATCTATTGTAATTTAAGAAACTATTTAAAATCTGCTGTTATTTTTACTCAAACGTACTTTCAACTTGCTTTGCCTACTCAAGGTCTACGCTTTCGCTTACACACATAGATATATGCTATTACTTATGCCACCTAGTCTTAAATTTGCATTTATTTGCTTACAAAAACAGAAAATCACGCTCAGCTTGAACTTTGCTTTTTTACAACGAATTTTAATTTTAATTTGCACATTTTTTTCTACCTTTTTTTTAGCACAAGAATCTGCGAAAAATGATAATAATAAACCACAAGGTAATATGCACTCAAAAATTTCTAGTCTTAGATGTGTAGATTTAAATTTAACTTTGCATGCGGTAAGCGGAAATTGTCTAGAGTTTTCTATTTTCTTTTTTAATAGTTTTCTTTATTTTTGTCTCTTGCTTTGACAGCAATTTAAATAATCATATTTTATGCGAATGGCTTTCAAGATGTCATTGAAATAGATGTCATGCCTGTGTCCCCTGCTAGCTGTTGTTCTTGTTGTTGTTTGTGTAGCTTGGCATTAGAGGTTGCCTTTGTCATTGTCATCGTTAGAGTCCCTGCCGTTGTCCTTGCTCGCCGAGTGCAGCCGACAGCCAAAAGTAATGATAAAACGCAGCGGGTTATCATTTTCATATTGAGACATTTGCGAACCCGAAACGGCCTCAGCCCTAAGCCACAGCTTAAAGTGAGGAAGGTTGGAGGGGGAGGCAGGGTATGTGGCAAGATTCAAGGATGCAATATTGAAAATCCCTTTGGCATTGACTGCACTTGTCTGAAGTCTAGAGTCTGTCGTCTGGTTGCTAGTCTCCAGCTTCAGCTGAAGCTTTCGCCTCGGCTTTGGCCTTGTCCTCAGTATTGGCCTTTTTGCTCGGTCGCCGTCTGTTATCATCTTTGTAATTGAATTCAGCAACAACACAATAAATTTTGTGGCACTAAGCAAGTGGAGTGGGCGTGGCTGTGACACTAAAAGGGCTGCCAAAAAACACACAACATTGTTGATGGGAGGGGTGAGGAGTGAGGGGAATGGGCGGCGGGTCTGGTGGCGGCTGCAGTAAAAAAGGGAAAATTTAATTTCTGGCCTGAATAATAAATCACAAACATAACACAGCGAATGGTCGAAGAAACGTGGCACAAACAAATAAAACAGCGTAAAATGTTTCAGCCTGGAGGACACTTGATGTCGCCAGAGATAAAATCCGCCCACTTTGCGGCAGCTCTGTTGACCAAGGGCAGGGCGGGGTGGTCGCGGGACGGGTGAAAGCGGGGCTTGTTGCCCAATTTGAAATGCGTTGTCGATGGTCATCGTCGACGCGTTGTGCTGTTGCATTTATCAAAAATTGTATTTCCTGCCACGCTGTCATATGGCCAAGGAATTGCAGAGGTAAAACCTCTCCTCCCTCAGCTCCTTATATAGTATAAATTTTATTTATTTTGACAGTGTGGGTGGGGAGGGAGGGGGTGGTAAAGGGGTTGCTTGCTGCTTGAACGAGTTGAGCGAATGTTTGCTTTATTAAATTTTTACGCAAATGTGCGACACGCGCATATGAATAATAACAACAGGCAGTCATATAACAAGAGTGCACGACTGGCAGATACCACGCAAAACACATGTCAGTTGATGGCAAAAAAGCAGGAAGTACACGCTCGCCTAGTATATACCCCTACACACCTTCCTGCGCCATTATTTCAATTTTAGGTTATGCTTAAGAGTTTGCCCTGTCAGCTTACGCATCCTACCTTGTTTGCATGTCAAGTACAGGGTATATTAAGGACAAAAGACGACAATGTCTCATAGTGCTCTTTGGCAATGCAACAAACATAAATAAATACACAAGCATTACGCGGGTGTGGCCCCATTCGAGGACCGTTTCGTATTTATGTAAATGAAAAGTGGACAATTTTTATGTGCAGATCATTTTTTATGTGCGACGCACAGCTGATAGATGAGGTTTTTGGCTGGGGCGTAAGGGGGCGCGGCTGACCCACTCAGCAGCAGCAGCAATGTGCTGTGATTTTTATGATAGTGTTGCCGAGGGTATACACACCCCCACACACACACCCATAAATAATGCTGCAAAGCCAAAAACAAATACGAGTAGTAAACAGAAATTGTGAATAATATGCAATAATGCAAAAGGCCAACAGTACGGGTATTCCGCAACTGCCAACAGCTGGGATATGGCATGCAGTCGCATATCGCAAAAAAAAGGTGCTTTGTGAAGACCCTGGGGAAAGATACACGCAACCATCTCGCCCACGCTTTGGGGGTCCTCCTGCTCCCGTTCCCGTTCTCGTTCCTGTGCCTCTTCCCGTTCCTGTTCCTGTTCCTGGTCGCATGTGTGCGTGCAAGTGTTTGGCTGGCTTTAAGTCACAGCAGGACGTGACATCGTTGCATAGCATTTGCATAACTATATGACCACCAAGAGGCAGCCACATCAGCGACAGTTCCCACTGCCAAACCCCCTCGTCCCCTCCCTCGTCGCCGCAAACTACCCTCCACAGTCTGCTGCTCTAGCGCCCGCTATTTTTATCATTTCCGTTTTTTGTATGACACATTTTTCCTTTTTTTTTATTTTTCTCATTTTTTTTTTGTTTTCCTCTGTAACGCGCTTGCATAATTTTCATTGTTTTCATTTTATTCGCGAATTTTCTGCACTCTGTGCTTTTTTTTATCATTTTATTTCACTTCTTGTTTTGTGGACCGTTTCCTGTTCTGATTTCTGTTTGCATTTCAAGTTATTCGCCTGAGAGATTTTAGTGTGTAAAGTAATAAAACTTAAGCATAAAGGCGTTAAAGGAGTTCCAAAAGAAGCGCGACTCTGCAGCAAAGAAAGCGGAAGGGGGTTGGGGCGAGGGAGACGGGAGGCAGCATTATGAGAGCTGGTGCCTTCGGTGTGCTCCTTTCAGTTTGAGTGCATCCCCGAAACTGGCCATATAACTTTATGAATGCCGTAAAAGTGGAAAAAGTAACCAATTTTATGCAAAAACACGAGAGTAAATATCAAAATGTAAATTACGTTCCTGACATGAAATTCGATAGTTCCTGAACCAACGAAAGTTCAAACATTTTGTTTGAGAAATAAACCTTTTTGCTTTAATAGTCCTATTCCTGTTAATATTCATTGCAAATTTATTTAGACTAACAATGTTGCACACAAAATATAACGAAAATAAATATAACTAACTTGTTTAAAAGTAAAGTACATTTTAAGCTGTCCGGCAAGAGGTCAATGTTTGGTTTAGAGCGACCAACATCAAGAGTGAGCAGGTTGTGTGTGCAACTCATTCAAGAAGCTCCCAGCTCGATGAGAATCTTATTCGTAGTTATTCAGAAATTGTTTGGGTACGCATACTTCCATACATATTCTGTACAGCATACAATATAAGTTTGTTTATTAGTCCATTATTGTATTAAAAAACATTCTGTAGAAAGCATGATATTTGCCTATATTCATAAGCAAAATTAGCTAGGCAAATTTAAAGTATATTGTTGAAGAAAACTGATATCTAAGAATCTCAATCTAAGTTGGCCTGAGCAACTGCTCGTTGCCTCGTGTGACTCTCAGAGGTCTAACAAAGTATTTAGGCGCAGCCAACTTAACGCACACATGCAACATAATTTAGTGTTGCCAGATCGCTTAAGTAACAGAAGAATATCGATTTCTAAATGTAATTATGCAAGCTCAACTGATTTTAAGTGTGTTATTAGAACGTTATAGCCGTTGCCCTAGTTAAAACACTTAGCAAAACCCCTCAATCAATATCTATGCTCATTCTACAAGCGTTGCCAACTGTTCCATTACGAAGCACATTTGCAGACATTATTATCATTGGCGAATGATTATCGCTGGCCTTTTGACATTCGCCAGCTCGAATTGCCATTGGCATTGTTGGCAGCTCTCAGCCAGAATAATCACGAGTATTCGAATTTTTAGAACTTTCTAATATAGGAAATAAATGCGGGCCGGGCCCACACAGACAAAATCTCTCCCGCTCGTGTTGGCAAATGTGAGTCGTTTTTCCAATTTTACAGCCACTTTGCCAATGCTCAGTCAATTTTTGCAAATCAAATGGTTCTCAGCTCTTCTTCTATTTCTACTCAATATTGTTTTTGTTGTTGTTGCTTTTGAGCTGTAGCCAAGACGGCTGCCAGGACGACGACGCTTGAGGCGCTAAACGAGGAGGAGCTGAAGGAGCTGGAGGATGCTCGACTCAATTCTTTTTTTTATTGAACTTTTCCTTGGTTCTTTTCTTTTATTTGGCTCATTTATGGCGCATATTGCGCATTTAATCGCCGTCAACATTTGCCATGTAACGGCCATGGAATATGTGCGCTTCTTCTAATATGTACATATGCCGTAGACTCCGTGTGTGTGTGTGTGCGAGTGTGTGTGCCACATGCGATTCACAGTCGGATTAGCTTTCAACGAGCGTCCGTTTCGCGCAGACAACGTTTCATATCCTGATATCCTGCTGCCGGCAAGTTTGCCCAAAGTTTTTGCTGCCGCTGTCGCTTTTCCTGCAGCTTCTGCTCCTGCTCCTGCTCCTGCTTCTACTCCTGCTCCTGCTGCTGCTCCGGCTCCTGTTCCGCCTCGCACAATCAGCTGCTGTTGAATTTTTAATTTTTATGTTAGTAATTTCTCAACATTCTGTTTGACTGTCTGGCGGCGTGGCAGCGGCAACAGGAAGCTCTTTTCGAGAGAACATCTTGTGCGCGCATATTAAATTTACTTTTATTTAGTTTTTCTTGCCTTTCTATATACCCTGTATATCGCTAAAACGGATGTAATAGGCAGCTGGTGACATTTCAAATCCGACAAAGTTTTTACATATTCCTAGAGTTTATGCATCTCCATCGAAATAGCTTGGCCTTAGAAATGGCCTCAAATATTAAAATCGATTCAGTTTTGACTCAACAGAGTTTCATTCCAGGGTAACACCTAGTCGAGAACTCTCTACCCAAATAGTTAGTTATTTTTATACGCATATCTCTGTGTTGGGCAGGCGTGAAAATAATATAGGACCCTGGACAGGACCAGACGGAGGTAACAGACATTCTTGAATGCGCAGTTTCGTAAGTGGAGTTTCTTCTCATATTTGTTTTTATTATGGTCAGGCCATTGACTGTGGCATTTATGTATGTGCATACATAAATATATAAGTGGGCTGTAAGCTGCAAATGTGGGTTAAATATCCAACTGGAATGCAATTCCTTGGCTTTGCCCAAAAGCTTAGGCTGCGAAATTGAAAGGCGAGGTTTAACAAGTGTGGCCCAAGAGAGTTTTTCACAGCGTGCCAAGAGGAAGTGGAAAATATGTCCTCAAGTTTCAAATACCCAGACAATATATACCATAGTTACTTTGAATATTGCGGCAATTCTTAAAGCTTTAAAGTATTTGTTATTGATTTACAAAAATTGAACAAATTATTCGCAGCGTATTTGATGCCATGTTCATTTGAATTGGAATTGCGACTGGGTTATTGCCAACTCGTTGCACACGCGCGTGCACTGACAATATACATATACCCCTGCTGCCACGCCCATTTGCGTGGCCCCTAGCACACGAGGTGGGTTTTGAGCTGTAACAAAACCAATTTACGAGAAGCGCAACTGAAACTGCGCTGGCAACTGCCGCCAGCCACAACTATATTATATAAATATTTCAATAAAGCCACACAGATACACACGCCCGCACACACGCACACTCACACGTGTCTGCAGCTGGCACATGGCAGAGCAGCAGTCACGGGAGCAACTGCATCCACAGCAGCAGCAGAAGCCAACACGATGCCAAAAGCAAACATAATTTAAAATGTAATTAGTGCTCAAATAGAAAGCCAAACAAACAGAGCAAAGCCCAGTTGGCAGCGGGGGGAATGAAGTGCACAGCTACCTGTGTTACCTGATGTATGTGTATGTGTGTGGGGACGCGTGGGCGTGGCAGTGGCAATGCAAACAAATTGCTAAAGCAAATGAAAGCCGCTTGGGTAACGGCCCAAGTCAATGAATATCACCGGGTTACTAGGTGACCCACTGCCGGATCGCCGTATTGCACTCTGGACACATCCCAGCGGGAGGCAGCGACAGCCACGCCCTCAATTACAATTGCAGTACAAAAAAGAAAACTTTGTCCTAGACCAACTTTCAACTGACTGCCAGTTGCCAGCTGCCATCTGCCAGCTGCCACTTGCCACCTGCTGGCGTTGCTATTTTTCTTTTGAAACATTTTTATTATATTTGCTGCTGTATTATTCAGAGCTCTCCGGATGCGATTCGTTCCGGTTTCAGCTTCGGTTTCGACTGCCTGTCTGTCTGTCTGTCTGTGTGTGTGCGTGTAAACATGGCATATTTTTTGTCGAGTTGCCACCGTGTTGTTGCATTCAGCGGTTTCAAGGCTCACGGCGCTAGCTATTGATGATGCTGCAGTGTTCCCGCCTTCCACCGCCCCCGCTTGAGGTTAATGAGGAAACTTGCTAACAACTCGCAATTCGCAACTTGCAACTTGCTACTTGCAACTCGACCCGGCAGCGCTCATTATGCAGTGCAGCCAGAATATCCTTTTTGGGCCGCAGTTAACAGCACTCAACGCTGCTTGAAGGTCCTTCAGCTGGCCATTTGTCGGCATTCGCTTTGTTCTGGCGCCCTTCTGCTGCTGCCACTTCACAGTGCGCTGTGTGGGCGCGGGACACTAATTTAGATTTTAACTAGTCTTCCTCAGCACTTGTACAACTCATTAAGCTGCACATTTTTTGTTTTAACTTAAGCTCACTTCTCTGCTTTGCTTCTCTCTCTCCCTTTGGTTTTACAGACTGGCGCAGCACGGACAGCACCGACCATCACGATCGCGTACAGCGGCAATTGTCGGTCTCGTCGGACAGCAAGCTGCTGGATGAGGATATCAGGGAGGAGATGAAGTACCACTCGCATGTCGTCATGCGACCCAAGAAGCCGCCCAGACCCAAGTCCGAGGTGTTTCTCAACAAACAGGATCCACTTCCGCGACGAAAACGTTTCAGTGCATTTGGTGTAAGTACTTCAAAGCATTTTCTCCACTCGCATCAATTTCAATCAATTTTCGGACTCACATTGTCTAACTCTACTTTATGGCTGGTCATTTGATAAAGATACATATACATACATATATATATATCTTTATATAGAGCTGCTCTCAATATATATCTATAGCTAACTTTGTTTCTATGTACGTTTGCTACTTGCCTATTGAAGCGCTTAAATCGCTGCATACTTCTGTGCGCCGTCTGCGCACAGTTGCGCGCTTGCAATTCTCAAATGGTTTTAGCTGCGTTTGCATCTAGTCCGCGCTCTAGTGAAGGATAAATTGAATTGAAAATATTTTTATCTCTTTGAAATTTGTCCTGGTGGGACCCTTTGCTTAGGCATTGAGTGTTCCGAATAAATAAATACATATAATAAGAGCAATTGGTTTAAGTTAATATTTGTGATTTGTGCAAATAGTACTCAGATCAGGGCGTAGGGAATGTTGGTCGGGGGAGAAGTTTGGAAGGAAACTTAGAGGGACTTTTTGTTTCGTTTATTAATGCACGGCTGAGATTCCAATGTTAGTTTTATGTGTTATTGCTGCCCGGCTTTTTCTGGCCCAAGTATTTTCCTATAAATGTAATACCTGTTCAGTTTCCGACTGAGCTTCATTCTGATTACGTTACGTGGCAGGTTCCGTAGAATGAACTGTTTCAGCCATATCTTGCCTAAACTCAAGTCAACCTATAAAACATCTAGGTCTACCAAGGGTTTACAGATTCCAGTGGTGCCAATACAACTATTTTCTAGGGAAAATACAGTTCAAATTTTATGCTAATATATGAAATACTTCACTTAGTTTTCTACATCTGAGTTTTTATTCAGTAAAATAATAGTATGAGATAAAAGTACTTAAAAAATTATTGATTTTTGATTAAAAATGAATTTGTAATATGTCGGTTCACCTTCATTTTTAATTTGATAAATTAATGAATGTAAATTGCATTTAAAATAACATGTAAACTTGCCAGGCATATGACAGTTTTTCCAGCCAGTTAACGGATATTAAATAATCAAATTTAATTGAAAAGGGAATCATTCGCTTTTTCTCTCTCTCCCTCTCTCTTGCTGCTGCATACTTCTGTGCAGCTGCTTTTAAAATATTTGAGCACATACTTTTTGGCATCGCTTTAAAACAATTTCACTTGATACGAATTGACTATGCTATAAATTAACAAGAACTTAAAAACTCCTTTGGCTAATTAGAACATTTTGTCACACACACAGGGCGATTCACCATTTGGCAAGCAGGAGGCCTATGTCAAACTGGAACCGCTCGGTGAAGGCTCCTATGCGACAGTCTACAAAGGATTTAGCAAGTGAGTACAGACACACACACACACACACACACACACCCACACCCATACATATATAGAGTGGGGAGACGGAAGCCAACTGTGCGCCATAAATCAACGAAGCGGGCCGCCTTGTGGTCCTCAAATTGGGTTGCCATGTCAGTGGGTTAGGCAAAATTATTGCTGTCGACTTACGGGCCCTGTCAGCCTCCCATGAATTTTGACGAGCTCCAAAACTGACGAATGGTCGCCCGAGCAAGCGGGTTGGAGCTGCACTTGCTGCTGCGCCTAAATCAAATGCCTCTTAAGGCAAAAATGTGTGACAATGCCGTCGCCTCTTTCCAGTTTTTCTCTTGATTTATTTACAAATGTTGTCCCGGCACATTTTGTTGCCTTATTTATTTATTTTTTTCTCCTTTTCATTGCTGCCTTTTGCAGGCAGCCCCTTCCATTATAAACTAGCTAACATATATACTATTTGTATGGAGCTGCTGGCAGACTCATTACAGAGCCCGGCCGAGTTCCCGAGACCGAGTTGCAGACGCGCAGCCTCTTTCCCAGTTGCCATGCAAATGCGGCTATCAATCAGGCGCTGGGCAAGCGGTGCGGGGCTCAAAGAAAAAATGGGTAAACAACAACAATGGACAGCAGCAGCAGCAGCAGCAATGCAAAACAACAATAGGGCCAACACGCTTAGCAACAAGCCAGAACGGCTCAGTGCGGCAAGCCGAATACTAAATACACTTGTAGGCAAATGGCCTAAGGGCTTGCCGATAAGTGTGAACTATAGAGAAGTGAAAGTGAAGTGAAGTGAGAGCTCAATTTGCAACAGACAGTTGGACTAACAAGCATCGCAATATCGACGCGGTTGTTGAGGCTGATTAAGAATATACAGTGGAAAATCTTGGGCGGACAGAATAGGGAGCAACTAGCATGGTTTAGAATAGTTTGAGTGATAGTTTATATATGCAGTGAAAACTATACTATTAGATGGATACCCCTCTTAGAGTAAAGTTTTCACTGCATAAAGAGTGAAAACTGTTGATGGACCTTTCCATAAGGCGACACTGCCTACTCAAGAGAGTTTCAACCGTACTTTATGGGGTCAAAGACATCTAATTTGTTACACTTTTCATGAAATAATTATAATACCCTCACCAAGGGCATAAAAATGATGTTTGTAAGCTCATTGGAATTGTTGTAGTTCCTGCTGCTGCTGCTGCTCCTGCTGTTGATGCCGTTTTGTTGGGTCCACAATTGTTCTCTGGCTTTTTGGGATCTTGACGCACTTTTCAAAGTCTGTGCGTAACCCTTTTCTTTGCTGCTTGCTTTGACACAATTGAGTTGGCAGTCCCAGTCCCGCCCAGGGAGCCAGCCCCCTCCCCCTGTCGTTGTCCTTAACAAATGCCGCCTCATTTGCGCCTGCTCTGATTTTGAGCTGCCTGCGTCTCTCATAATTTGACAAATGAGCCCAAGCAAAAAAAAAAAAGCAACAAGAACAAGCTTCGTCACCTTTTTGACAGCAGAGGCTACTTATATGTATATATATATAAGGGAGCGATGAGGAATGGAGCGTGGTTCGGGGGGAGGTGTCTTGGGTGATGAATACCCTGTGCTGTCAGTTGCATTGGCCACGAGTCTTCGTGCGACTCACGTTTGCTGCCTGTTTTGCTGATTTATTTGACAATCATTTGCACAGCCCCAACCGCTGCCCCAAGCCCGCCTTCATCTTCAACCTCTCCCCCATCCTGTTGAACTTCTTTAACAATGGGCATTTACGGGAAAAACAAGAAAAGTTGGTTTTCTTCTGGTTCTCATTAGGCATGCAGAGCGGGTCACATGCGAAATGAGTTCCAATTAGCTTTGTTTATTCGGAATGCAATTAATTCGCTCTAATTTATCTGGGCAAAAGGAAAAGTGTGCTGAAAATAGGAAATGGCAAACGGCAAATGGCAAATGGAAAATGCAAATGGGAAATTTGACAACTTGCGAGCTGCCTTTTCAGCTGAATTCGTGCGCTCTGCTTGGCCTGCTGATTAGCATTTCATACGCAGTACGCAGATTTGGGTCAGCGCTTCGCTTTTGGCTTTTGCTTGGCTTGGTTTTTGCTGCCGCTGCTGCTGCTGCTTTTGGCCAAGATTTATGCGCCCTGCTTTTTGGCCATCCTTCAGAGTTTACGCTTTGGCCTGCTGTGCTGTGCTGTGCGTCAATTGTTGAAGATTTCATGAATGATTTCACTTCTGTACTCGTTTTTCTCTTTGGGCTTGAACTTTTGGCTTTAACTAAATTCTGATTAGCATTTAGTGGGTCAACTGTCAGCTGAAGCGCCATCTGGTGGCGGCTGCCTGCAGCCAATGAAGAAAACTTTTCTGCTTGACGGCAAAACTTTCGACGACTTTCGGCGCTTAACTAAATCGTATTATTTTTACATTAACGTGAACTAAGTTTCGCATATCCTTCCACATGGCTGTCATAAGTGCTTCAAGCACTCTGCGTGCCCTTATCGAATGCCTGCCACGCCCCCGTTATAGCAGCCGCCCATCCATACACATACACGCTGACCCAGTTAGAAATTATCAAACGCTGGCGGCATTTGTAGCAACAGCAGCAGCAGCTTCTCATACATTTTTCATGGACTTTGAGGTTGGGTTCGAACCCCGAACCCGTTCCCCACCCCCAGCCAGAGCTGCACCCACAGCACCACAGCCGTGTATTCGTGTATTCCTTGTTGTTGTGCTCGTGTAATTTGCCTGAGACACTCGTCGACAACGGCGACAGCAGCTGCTGGTTACATGGAAAATTCGCAAGTCGCACGGAGCAGGGCATCGCAGTCAGGAAAGGATGTTGTCGCAGGATGTGCAAAGACATAAGCTCTTTATGGCATTCGCTTTGGAGGTTATAAAAGAGCGCGTGCTTCACAACACTTGCCATCGCATAAAGGGCTTAATTGATAACGTTGCGGCTGCCAGAAGGCGTATAGCATGTGCCACGCCCTACAATCTCATCTCGAAACGAAATCTACCCGAAAAGCATCAAACTAGAGCCCAAAGTTTGATGATGATATAAAAAACGCGCCTTAAATTTACATAAGCAAAAAGTATTGTAAATGCTTGATTCCACATAAAAATGGTTTATGTTGGAATAAAGTGCTAGACCTTAGATTACAAATGGGGAAGATTTTTTAGAAGATAAGAAACTAAGGGAAATTTTACGGTTTCTTATAGCTAACCATTTTTCAAGTACTTGAAAATTACGAATTCAAAAGAATATGACTAATACTTTATTAAATTTATTGTTTTGGGCAATTGTCTTTTCATAAAAATCTATTATCTAAACAATCAAATTGTATTTTCATTAGTTTTCCTAGTATACCCCTAATGAAATTCTCAGCCAGTTATCTGAACTAAGAGAATGTCCCTTGTTAAGTGTATTGCTTTGTATGCCATTACACAAATTGAGTATTAATATGGGATATCATTTTTTTAGCTACTTGTATTAACTAAAACCTGTCTCTTACCAAGTCAATAATATTTAATCTATAAATTGGCTTGTATTCTCACAATAAAATTCTTAGCTAGCTAACAGAACTAAATAAAATTCCCTTTTTAGTCATTTTTCTGAATATGCCATTACACAAATTAGGGAAAACTTTGTGCCATCAGCTAGCTGAGCCCTACTTATATTCTTTCCAATGTCTATTTCGAAGCGCCTTTAGTTTGATTAGCTATCAACCGGCTGCAGGGTTAATTTAAGGTACATTATCTATCATTCAGTAGCTGCTCATTACGCACGACATCATCATCATTAACCGACTAAGAGCAGCTCTTAACTGAAACAGTTTTTGGTTGCCTAACATCCAAATGCCAATTAGCTGAAATCGCGACGCTTTCGCTAACTGAATTAACTCTCAGTCTGAGCTCAACGCCCGCGCTTTGACACATTCGAGTGGACCAGACAAGCACTCCACGGCGTTCATTCAAAGACCTTTTTGCAGCTCTTGAGCCGTAAAGAAAAAAAAAAGCAGAAACTTTGCTCAATTTTTGCCAGCACTTTGCTCAACTACGCAACTCAAAGCGTAAATCAGCTACTTTATGGCTGGGATTTTGGCGTGTTCTCTCGCTTTTATGGAACCTACCAGGTTCCATGCGGAGCGGCAACTGGAGTCGCAGTGGGAGTTGGAGTCAATTCCAATTAGAATTTGCTGGGCCAAAGGACGTCTCATAAATTCTTGGTGGTGTCAAATAATTTAACCTAATTTGACACTTCAAATGTGCGGCTTAGGGAGAAGTGGGAGAGAGTGGGAGGAGGGGGCGTGCCTGCCATGTCAGTGTCTGCGCCTGGCCTTATCCTAATTTAAGTGTTTGCCGCACATTTCTGTGCGTACTTTTGTTGGCTCGTTATGTCTGTTTAATGTATGCCCAGGCACAACTGCTCCCGACTACCCGCAATCCCCCTGCGGCAGCTTCAGCTCCTACATGACTTGCGGCAAGGACAATGTGGGTCCTGCGAGGGTCTCTGGACATCTGTTCGCTTGTACAAGTCGCATTTGGGCTGTGGGCTTTGACTCTTGTGTATTTATTTTATTAATATCTTATCCATGTTCTTACACACACACAGATTAACCTACCAGCGTGTTGCACTGAAGGAGATCCGACTGCAGGAGGAGGAGGGCGCCCCATTCACGGCCATACGGGAGGCGTCGCTGCTAAAAGAACTGAAACACAGCAACATTGTGACCCTGCACGATATCGTGCACACCCGCGAGACGCTGACCTTTGTCTTTGAATATGTGGTGAGTAGCGCATTGAAAGGCCGATGCCACAAGAGAATAGCCCTACTTAAGCTGATGTGTGTTTTGCCCGGACAGAATACCGATCTATCGCAATATATGGAGAAGCATCCGGGTGGCCTGGACCATCGCAATGTGCGTCTGTTCCTTTTCCAGCTCCTGCGCGGTCTCTCCTACTGCCACAAGCGTCGCGTCCTCCATCGCGATGTTAAGCCACAGAATCTGCTAATCAGCGACTGTGGCGAACTGAAGCTTGCCGATTTTGGCCTGGCCCGTGCCAAGAGCGTGCCCAGCCACACGTATTCACATGAAGTGGTTACGTTATGGTACCGTCCACCAGGTGAGTCCAAATATTAAATAAACACCAGTTGAAGGTTAAATAAATGGTGCATTTGTTAGTTTTACAACACTGTAAAAACTTTCATATACTGCTAAGAACTTTCTGAAATTTGAATGATAATCTTCTTGCTGGAGTTAATTAACATTTCGGTTCATAAAACTGTAAATGAATCGATTTTTTTTATTTATTTTATTTTCCATGTTAATTTAGATATTCATGGTAATGCAACGCTCAGCGAACTCATTTATTTGCTAGTTTTGCAACACTACAAGAATTTTTAGAAACTATTAAGAACATTACAAAGTGTGAAGGTTAATTCTCTTGCTAAAATACAAAACTTAATAAACTAAACTTCATGTAAGTTTAACACACAATAATCTTCTTTACACAACACTGAATGTGAACTAGCTCATTTGCTTGCTTAACAGCACTTGAAAATTTTAAATCGATTTCAACAAAAAACTTCTTCCGCATAGATAATTACTTATGGAAAAAAAATGCGAAAAAAAGAGATTAATATTGGTTTGGGGTTTTTCCATTAAGCATTTTCAATTTTAGCACAGAGCTGAAAGCAGATTAATTTTAATATACGACTAAATAGACAACGTCCAATGGGTAAACAATTCATTTTGCATTGCTTTTTTAGTCTTGAACAAATTTCCTATCAATTTGCAGCGCTAAATTGAAAAAAAGCACTAGAGGGATATATGCTGAGAGAGAGGAAGAGAATAAAAGAGTAGCATAGAGAATAAAGTTAATTTTTTAATATGCAATTCCCTGGACATAAACAGTTTGTGTGAACTCAAGCGGCTGCCAGCTGCCTGCTGCCAGTGGCTGTTGCTGCTGCTCCTGCTGCTGTTGCTTGTGCTGCTCACCAGACTGACCTCAACGGGCAAGTCAAAGCATGTTAAACAAATTTAATCTGCACTTCTTAGCAGACAAGCAGACTCTTGACCAGCGGGTGGCAGGACGAGCAGCAGCAGCAGCCGAGAGCCAAGTGGATGCATGCAAACGTGCGGATGCGGATGTGGTTGGGTTTTGGTTTGGGCTTGTGTGCCCCACCTGTGCCACGTTTTTTGTGTGTGCTCAAAACTTTGTTTAGCCGCTGCTTCAAGGGTCAGCCGAGATAAGCGCTAAGGCGACCTCTGTATGGCTGTCAGTCAGTGTGTCACGCTGTCATTCCATGTGGCTAGCAGGGCGACTGGACTGGACTGGGTAACAGCTCTGTTTATTTATTTAGAATTGCAATTTATTTTCAAACAAAAAGTGCATTTACCTAACGAAGCAACCACGAACTCTCTTGTCCCTGTTTATATAGACGTACTGCTGGGCAGCACAGAGTACTCCACCTCGCTGGACATGTGGGGCGTTGGCTGTATATTTGTGGAGATGGTGACTGGTATGCCAACATTCCCGGGCATACGTGATACATACGATCAGCTGGATAAGATATTCAAATTGCTGGGCACGCCCACCGAGGATACGTGGCAGGGCGTCACACATTTCCCTGGCTACAAACCGCACAAGTTGGGTGAGTAATTGGCTAGCAGCAGCAGCAGCAGACGAAGCAGCTGCTCTGCATTTTTCTATTTTTGCAAAACTAATTTGGCTTCATTTGGCATGCATTGGTGCAGGTTTCTATCGACCACGGAAACTGGGTCACAATTTTCCACGGCTGTACGACATTATCGAGGGCGAGACGATAGCGAACGCTTTCCTGCAGCTCAATCCCGAGCAGCGCATCGGCGCCGAGGAGGCACTGCAGCATCCCTACTTTGCGCAATTGCCAAAGAAACTCTACGAATTGCCAGACGGTAGGAATTTTAAATCGAATTTAAATTTCAAATTAAATGAATATATTAAACATTTACAAGCCAATATTTTTGGGACCTACCGCATTGTCTGACGGTGGCAAAGAAAACCAATTAAAATGCAACACAACAAATTTTGTTTGTCCTCAACTCTTGCAGTTGCCATAAACAGGGCCTCCCTTTGCGTCCCAGCTCTCGGGCGCCTTCCAATTGAACTACACAACTCATTTAAGTTTGTGCGACAAACTTGGCCAGGCAACTGCCTCTTGTCTGTCTGTCTGCCTGTCTGTTGACTGCTTAAATAATGTTTGCCTGGCTAACACAGCTACCAATTTTACTGTTTACAGTTAATACTAATTACACTTTTTGCGTTTTAATTTGTGTGTGCCTCGACTGGACGGACGAAGAAAAAAGAAGAAGTTTTTGCAACAAGTCGCAAGTTGTCAAGCGCAACAGTGTAAAACCCATTTGTGTGTGGCAACTGGCAACACTCTCAGAGCAACTAGTTAATTTGCCCCAAGCCAGTTAAATATGCCCAAAAAATGCAGACAAAACAGCAGCAGGCACGTGCAAAGAGAGAAGAGATTGTAGATAAGTTTAGCTAGGCTCCTGAAAAGTCTGTGCATAGTTAAATCTCATACTTTGCTTTTGGCTCCTTGTAGTATATTAAAAATATAATATATAGAGAGAAGCCATGAGAGAAGCTCTTTATAGCAATATGTTTTTCAATTTAAACTGGACTTTATTTGAACCATAATACATACCACAAATTTGCCTGCAGATAGTCAAAATATTTGGAGCATAACACTTAAGAGTAGAGGCCTGAAAGGGAGGTCCAAGAAGCCCTTTGTTAAATAAAACACTTGTGATCCATAATATATATTCTTTTATTAATGGTCATTTTTTATATTTTAAAAATGATTATTTCAAAATTATACATTTTTTCTTACAAGTTCAAAGATTTGTCCTTAATAAGATTGAACTAAAATAGACGATGCCAAGCCTTTTAAAACGACAAAGTATTTATGTTAGGCTTAGTATCATATATTAAATATACATATTCCACTACTAAAGCTTTTATTAGATATTAATTGGGTATAGGATAGGATATTGGGTATAGTAGTCCTTGGCAGATAAGTCAAAGTCGCCAAAGGCAGACATTAAGTGTATATCCGGGGACGAGGTGCAAACTAGAAATATAGTAGTAGTATATAATAGTTGCCAGTGTTATTGCTCTATAATAATTGAAATATTCCTTACCTTTCGCGTTTCCGAACATCAACTAATCACATCTAATCCAACTCTTTTAAACTGTGTTTACTATGGATATCAAGTAGTTGCCAGCCATCGCAACCATTTGACTATTTTGTTTATTCTGATCAGTTTATTGGGAATTTATATAATCTTTTTAATATTCATTGTTTGACTAAAATATTGTTTATACATTGACTTAATCCTGATACTCTATGAATTTCCAATGTCCATTAGTCAATGCGCTCGTAAATCTTGTGCTTGAATCCTCATAGCAAACGCATTCAGCAAAAATCGCTTAAGCAAAATAAGTTTCAGCAGCCTTCTGCATTAATTACGCTCGGTTCAATCCGGCATGCGATTTGCAATTGTAAATGGAAATAATTTGGCCCAATGGAGCCTTCTGTTTGGGAAAAACAGAATTCGGAATATACCAAACGACGCATCGAACGTTGCAATTTGCCAAGTGCATTCATTGGCCCGGCGCAAAGGAGGAGCCTCTCGAGGCCTTGGCTGGGTAATGAATGCAGCCCAATATGCGGGGAGGGGCCTAGACTAATGTCCATTTAATGGCCGGGTAGCTTAATGTGCGCTTAAAATGTGATTAACTGTGATTTGTATATAGCCCCACATCCGTCTAAACATCCGGCGCACTCTTGGCTATTTACAAAACTTGTAAATATGCTAATTTTGGTCGAAATTGAAATCAGAGCTCACAGGTGGACTCAACTGCTGTTTGTTCATTAAACAAGCTCCTTCCCTAGCCTTATCCCTCTCATTCGCCCCTGTTGCGGTTGCAGCTTTAACAGTTTTCAGATAAAATCAATTAAAACGCAACTAATGTGCGGCATTTATCATGGTGCCCAGCAGCCGGATAAGGTCAATGCACAGCCAAAAACCGCAGCAGTTGAGCGTGTGAGCATTGCGGTTTTCCCGGGGTTCCATAGCACTGGACGTGCGAGTGGGTGGGCGTGGCACATACACCCTTTCGGCAAAATGAAATTTGCATTTCATTTAAATTGCCTGTCTGCGAGTATATTAAATAATATCCAGTGAACAAATGTTGTCATACTGTTAAAGTTTTTAATTAAGAAAAAAATTGTAAAAAAAATGTATAATAATAATAAATTGCACATATCATTTACTCTTCGCAGAAACCTCAATTTTCACCGTGGAAGGCGTGCAGCTGCATACGGAACCGAATCGACAGAATAAATGAAAATTAAAGCAGGTCCTCTCAGTGGATGGCGTACGTTTCTATTGTTAGACCAAAATACGATCTACAACAAATATCAGCCCAACAACAACAACAACCCAGCTACACCCAGCAACTAAACAACCCACAAAACAACCCAGCAAACAACTCAGCAACAAATAATAACAACAACAACAACTACAACAATCGGCAGCCATAATGAAAAGTGTACGAAAAATAACAAGTTTTGTACCATAATTTGTGAAATTCTTACTTCGATTTCAGATTGTAAATTTCAGTGGGCGTGAGAGTGGAGTGTGAAGCAGAAAAGGGGGAATGGGGGCGGCGGCAACAGCGGCAGCATTTCAGTCAAATTCGTGCCTGGGCATTAGTTAGTTTAGTTATTTAAGCTATCAACGTCGTCTTCTTAGCGCCTTCATTAATAAGGTTACTCAGTTTAGTCAAATATTGTTTCCGCACGGACTTTTCGAAAGTTTGTTTTTTTAAATTTATATGAAATTTATACTAGAGCTATTTTTTGTGTTTTCATTTCTCTAGTTTTTTGATTAAGCAAAAAGCAAATATTGTGGATTTTTCTGTTTTGCTGTCTGTGTATACAAAAAGAAAAAGTCCAATTATTCCTTGTGTTTGTTTTTCGTTGCTAAAAAAAAGTATATAGTGCTGTGTTTGCTTCTACAGGGACAAGTTAAATAGGATTTCTCAAAAGTAAAGTTACAAAATTGAAATTAATATTAAATCAAGACGAAAATTGTCTATTTCTTGTATGCACGCAAATCATAAATTGCAGTTTAAGTAGTTGCATTCAATTTATCTCTGTGTTTCCAACTGACTAGCACAACCATTTCCTTATGGGTATGAGTCAAGACCCCGGGCCACCTAAGACAAGTTTATAGTTCCGATAAAGAAATCATCTAAATCCTCATGCCAAACTATAGTTCTCTCACAATTCAATAAATATCATAGATTCATGTGTCTGCAGATGTCGCAAGCATAAACAGATCCTATTAAGCATATATATATGAATGTGTATGCATATTCCTTCCTTCGAACAACTATAAACTATAGCGTATATTTGTTTCAAATGTCTGTGAGAGTATTGAATTGTCGGCTTGCGCCGATAGCCAGCTCTTGATGGTTTCATTTATATACTATATTATTATTTTTAACGCTCTTTTGTCATTTAAAGAAGAGGAAAAAACAAGAAAATTTTGCCGCGCTGTTTAAGTGATACATTTTTAATTACTATTAATTAAAAACAAATAATAAATGAATTTATGTATAAAGCAAACAATTAAAAAACAAAAAACAAATAAATTTAAATCATTTATACCGTATCGTTTGCTCTTGTTTCATATTTATTTCATTTATGTTTTTCTATTTTAAAATATTTTTATGATTTCAGTGTCGCTGCTGTCCCAGAACCCAAAATTTAACATACGAAATCGAACGAATTCCTAGTAAATAATAATACAACTAAAAACTAAAAATAATAATAAAATCCGGATAAAGCTGTTGAAGTAGTTACCTAAAATATAAAACTAAATCATGGAAACACCACCAGGAGAGGGGGTGAGTAGAAACTCCACCCGGAAGAGATCTAGAGCATATAGTTCATACAATAATAAACATTTTTGAAGCAAATCGAAACGAATGAATAGTTAAACTCAAATTAAACTAGAATTGAAAAAGTAGTAGTAAAAACGTTTTTAGCAGCAACAGCAAATAAATTCTAAATAAAATAGTCAACCAACTAAAGCTAACATTAAAAAAAATAACCAATAACCTAACCAAGTATTTTACATAGTGTCGTAGTTAAAATGAAATCCAATCAATCCATTTCCATGTTTAATGAAACGTTACGCAACACACGAAAAAGATGAGAGGACAAAGGTTAGAGTTCAGGAGAGAAATAACTAAATGTGCAAACTTAAATCAAAGACACTTCAAATGGTTTTGAAAGGTAAATGAATCAAAATGAATATCGGCGTGTAGAAGTGTAAGCAACAAAATAAACGTAGAGCAAAATATGTTAACAATTAAACTTAACTTAAATCAATGCAAAATCTTGAGCAAAACGGAGTTGCCAGTGGCGCCCTCTGTGGCCCAATGGCCAACAACTTTTATGATGAAAAACAAAACCAAAAAATATATCAACAACATAAACTAATCGAGTTTAGGGTAAATTTGAATGAAATTACGACAGCGTCAAAGTAATGAATATTCTAAAAACATTTTAAAAGTCAGACACGCGCTTTTCAACACTGGCCGGTACTGTGCATTAACTTTGCGCAGTAACTGTTCGAGGCGGTCGACGTTTTAGAGCGCCCGCGTTTTAGCAGCGTTTATAAGCGCAACAACAACAAAATTATATTTTGTAGTAGAAAATGAAAAACTTGATTATTAAAATAATAAAGAATACATTAAACTAAATAGCAAAAAAAAAAACAACAAAAACAATTTAATGAGAAAACTTTTTCTGTGATTTATGAAAAAAGTATGCAAAACCTAAAACAAGAATATGCAGAAAATTAAAAAAAAAAAAGAAAAAAAAACAAACAATTTAAATATAAACTAGAGAAAAGAGTAAACAGTAAACCACATGAAAAATAAGCACTTTAGAACGAATCAAATTAGATGCTGAGCCAAACGAAATTGTTTAGAGTATTTGATATCAAAAATGAATAGAAGACAACAATTGCACGCACGAACAAATTTACAAAGCAAACCGCAAACGAAACGAAAACGAAAATTGAAATTGAAATTGCAAAAAATTCTCAGCACTTAATCGTATAAACATTTCGTATTGTTTGTAATTTGTTTTGATTATTACGAGCTCACATTGAGTAAACATTTAGCAAAAAAAAAAAAAAAGCAAGCAAGCAACATTTTCACAAAGAAAAACCACGAACAGGCAACATTTTTATAAAACACGAAACTGTATCGAGCAATGGAATGCACTTTTCGCACTTTTCCCATCCCGAGGTTACGTCCATAGTTTATAAGCCAAAGAGCCAATGAACAAATCGAACGAAACGCAATGATGAGCGCGATTTTTATTTAGCAATTATTTTTGATGATCGCACATTGATCAAACGATAAATTCTTATTGAGTTCTGCAACAGGGCATCAGTTATAAATATATATATAAATATATATAGGCAACCTTTGTGTATGTAAATCTTGTTTTCATTGCACACAAAACACAAATTGGAGAGAAGCATTAAGCTAAAGTATATTAACTAAAGTAATCACAAAATGGTAATAACTAAGAATGTTTTTAGCTGAACGTGTCTCTAGATGTATTCAATAGTAGCTAAGCGGTAAGGGTGAGCCTCAAGTGAGCCCGCAGGAACGAAAGGTAAAAATCTATATGAAATGGCATCTCGAAACTCAAAACTCGAAGTAAACAAGTCGAATGAGGTATAACTAAATTATTTTTAATGCATTGAATTTGTCGTAAATATTTAACGTACCTTTGTTAAAAACAAAACAAAACAAAAATTGAATATATTAAAATATAAACAAATAATAACAAATCTATTACCACAAGACGCAAACAAGAGTCGATAGAAATTACAAATAAATAAATATATATACATATATGTATGTATATATATATATTTATTTTGTTCTCTCGGCGGAATGTAGACGCGTGTAGTTTTTATGTTTACACTGTAAGCATTTTTTGTATAGTTGAAAGGGCAAAGGGTTAAACTCGCCTCGCACCACAGCCCCCGCGGGCCACATACGGCAGCGAGGGGCAGCGACAAAATGAGATTAACATAAATAATTTTTTTGTAAATATCTGTAGTTGATTTCTAAGTAGCGAAAAAGAAAATCGAAACAAAACAAGACGAAACCAAAACCAAAATGACAAAGAACCCAAATTGAATGTTTATGATTTAATACAAATGAATAATGAATGATAACTAAATACAATTTGAATAAGTTCAACCTGTACAATAATTTAATATTAAATAAAACGCAAGAAACCAAACAAAACTCAAATGAAAACTACACGTTTCAATTGCTCTTGGACTTGCTAACAAGTATATCTAGCTATGGATATAGACATATATACAGATATATATATATATATGCATTGTATATATATATATATGTATATATCTGTATTTAAGCAGCTGCTGCTTTGACACACTTTGGAATGCGAGGCTGTCGGTCGCTGAATTGATGAATGTTTCAGTCGTTGCGTCTCCAAACGCATAAATAACAATGAAAACTAACAACACTTGATGACGACAAATAAAATAGTTTATGCGCAAACTAATTGACACAATTGAAGTACTTTTGCTCTTCATTGAGATTCAGTTTGCGCTATATTTCACAAATCTCCCACAATTAAGGCTTTCAGAGCTGAGCTGAGCTGTAATTATGCAAATGACACAACTCTTTTTTGGGCAAATAGCCTCGAGGCATGGCATCAAGCAAATTTTTTGTTTTTTTTTTACTATAAATTGTTCATATTTTTTGTTTGATTTATTTTTGCCCATGAGTTTGCGTCATCGACTTGGCCAATCAGCCGCCTGGCTGCAGTCAAAGTCTATCGTTTCTCTGCCCGCTAAAGGTCTATCAGAGTTGGTGCATCTGCGCACGACTCCGCCAGCTGTTTGATTTCAGCTGCAAAAGGCAAAAGGTTTCCACAGTGCACGATGACCGGTAAAAACCTTCAAAAACCCATAACAGACAGCAACAATTGCTTGGTAATTTAGCAGCAACTACAAGCAACAACAAAATGACATAATCCGGAAAGCTGTAAAGCATTATTATCTAAAAGGTAACTTATTGTGAGCACAAACTATATATATAGAAGTATATTTGTGATGACGCATAAAATTAAATCTTTCTGTTTATAAATAGGCATGAATGGTAAGTACAAATTGAAACGGGAAGAACAGTTCTTCGCTGGTGCCGTCTCTTACAAATCCGTTTATTTAAGTTATTTAAATAGAATTAAAAAAAGAAGATAGACATTATGTAGAAACCCTAAAATAAAATCAATATTTTTAAATGCCCATTCGACTTACTGTAAGAAAGACAAGGTTTTGGAAAATTAAACTCACAAGTAGATATAATTGGTACTCAAATATTTCCTAACTTACTTTTAACTGAGATATTTGAATCTTCACATTTTTCAAAAACTTTTAATGTCCAAAAAACGTATTAGTTGCACATATTAGAAGAATTAGTTGTATTAAAAGTACTAGTTGTATTAGTAGTATTAGTTGTATTAGTAGCATTAGTGTTACTTCTTTTGTCTAAAATGGCGTCGGTCCGCAAATAAGAATTTTTCGATTTCTTTCTGTTCTCGGTTAAATATTGTCTACCTTTTTAAATTCGTACGGATCCCTACTAATAATAAACTTTTCAACAAATTAAAAATCGATGGGCTAAAAATAGTTGTGGCCAAAAAACGATTCGTTAGTAAAATCAAAATCTGGATTTTACTTGAAGATTATTTTGGAATATCTCGGGTAAATAACATTTGATTTGTAAAATCAATAACTTTTTGAA